CTCTTAAGCAGACTGCTCCCCTCTCAAGCAGACTGTTCCCCCCTCAAGCAGAATGTTTCCCTCTCAAGTAGACTGTTCTTCCCCTCAAGCAGACAGTTCCCCCTTCAAGCAGACTGTTCCCCTGTCAAGCAGACTGTTTCTATCTCAAGCAGACTGTTCCCCTCTCAAGCAGACTGTTCCCCTCTCAAGCAGACTGCTTCCCCCTCTTGCAAACTATTCCCTCTCGAGCAGACTATTTCTCCCTCAAGCAGACTGTTCTTCCCCTGAAGCAGACTGTTCCTCCCCTCAAGCAGACTATTCCTCCCCTCAAGCAGACTGTTCACCCCCCTCATGCAAACTATTCTTCTCATCCCGTATCTTTTGCTTGCTTCTCTTGCTCTTCTTGTTTCATCTTCGCATTTATCTTATCTCGTTCCCATCCCATCTAACATCTTCACAGCTTCTCCATCTTTATGCCACTCGCTTTATCTCCATCTTTAACCATCACTTCCCTCTTCCTTCCCTGTCTCCTTAACTAGCACCATTATTCTCTTTCTTCACTGTCACCTTAATTCTTTCTCCTTCTTTCACTATCACTTTCATTCATCCTCCTTCCCAATTCCCCCTCTCACTGTCATTTTTACCTCTCGCCAAATCCCTTCCTTCCTCCCTCTCTCCGTCGTTCTCTCCCTTCCTCCCTCTCTCCCTCCCTACCATCCCTCCCTCATTCCTTTCACTTTATCACCTATTTTTGTCTCCAGCATTTTTTCTATTCAACTTTTTTTTTTTTAATTTTTCACCTCGAACGAACATTTTTTTTTTCATTACACTCCCCCCGACATTTCCTTATGAAAAACTTTTATCCCATGTTCACATGAACTCGAATTAAGTTGTAATTAGCAACTGTCGATGAAGAAAGAGAAGGGCGGACCAGGGGCTCGAACCGCCTGAGTTTGCCTAGACGGTATAGCACCTAACCTAACCTAAACTAACCTAACCTAACCTAACCTAACTTATCCTAACCTAACCTGACCTAACCTAACCTAACCTAACCTAAGCTAACCTAACCTATTCTAACCTAACCTAACCTAAACTAACCTAACCTAACCTAACCTAATCTAACCTAACCTAACCTGACCTAACCTAACCTAACCTAACCTAAGCTAACCTAACCTATTCTAACCAAACCTAACCTAACCTAACCTAACCTAACCTAACCTAACCTAAGCTAACCTAACCTAAACTAACTTAAACTAGCCTAAACTAACCTAAACTAAACTAACCTAACTTGAAGAGAGACGAGGTAGTTGCAATCGTGACATGATCAGAAAGGGGGTTGTTACAGTCGTGAGCTACAGTCACGACAACATTAGAAAGAGGGTAGTTACAATTGTGACATAGTCAAAAAGAAGAGTAGTTACAATCTTGATACGAGAGTGAAGGGAAATAGTTACAGTCACGAGCTACAATCGAGTCTTAACTAAAAGTGAAAGGCAGATACAATCATGATATAACCAGGAGGGAGGGAGTTGTATATAGTCATGCCATAACTGAGAGAGAGAGAGAGATAGAGAGAGAGAGAGAGGTAGGTAGTTACAGTCTTGACAGTACCAGGAGGAATTAGGACAATTACCATCTCGAAAGCGATTACATTACGCATGCACAATACGCTATATGCACACATAGTAAACTTATTTAGGTACAGGTCAGCATAAGTGCAATTATCGTACATAGTAACATATGTGTAAATCACCTAGGATAACCCCCCTCCAAAAAAAAAAAGGTCAGGCAAAGTGACTTATTTACCTTGGGCTCGGTAAGTAAACAAACACTTAACACTTCAAAACATTTCTCAAATATTGTGAAATATTCACTCAACAAGTGTTCGTAATTCGCCAATCTTATTGCTCTGACGAACTCGGAGAACTGCATTCAGACTGACTCTCAGTACTATATTCAGACTGACGTTGATTTCTATAATAAGGCTGGCGCCTTATTACAGAAATCTGTCTGGCCAAACACTGAGCCCCTCAAGTGTGTAATTAGTGAATGAAAACAGTGAGTCACAATATGAACTAAAATCCCTTCTGACCTCTGTCTCGTGAACGAGTATTGACCTCTCTCGTGAACGTGTGTTGACCTCTGTCCTGCGGACATGTTCTGACCTGTATATATATATATAAACCCTGTTGTCAGGCTTCGTCAGTCTGTCAACAAGCGAAACTTCTCAAAGTCCTCCACTGCAATTGTTTGCTTTTTTTCATCACTTGTCGACTTTTCGCCATTTTTCTCCCAAAATATGAAAACACTGAGGCTCGACCTGCCTCCCTAAATCAACAGTGACTTTTTTTTTAAGACGGACTAAAATATACTAAGTAAATTTATCCTTTAAAATATTTCGAAACAAGCTAGAAAATAAATGCAGGATTTTTTTTTATTTGGTGAAAGCTCATTAGTTGAAACTCTTCGCTCCAAGTTCCTGTTGAAGACGTCATTGATTTATAGCTGTGTCTCAACCAACTTGGGCTGTCGCGAAGCCAGTCTTCCTGCAACTTTCCAAACTGCAAGAAGGGTGAAGAGGTGGGGATTAAGAGAAAGTGAAACGTAGAGAGAAGAAAATGAAACGAAAGGAAAGAGAAGAAAATGCACCATAGAGAAAGAGAAGAAATGCAACTGGAAGACGAATGCAAATAGAGAAAGAGAAGAAAATGCAACATAGAGAAAGAGAAGAAAATGCACATAGAGAAAGAGAAGAAAATGCAACATAGAGAAAGAGAAGAAAATGCTACATAGAGAAAGAGAAGAAAATGCAACATAGAGAAAGAGAAGAAAATCACATAGAGAAAGAGAAGAAAATTCAACATAGAGAAAGAGAAGAAAATTCAACATAGAGAAAGAGAAGAAAATTCAACATAGAGAAAGAGAAGAAAATTCAACATAGAGAAAGAGAAGAAAATTCAACATAGAGAAAGAGAAGAAAATTCAACATAGAGAAAGAGAAGAAAATTCAACATAGAGAAAGAGAAGAAAATGCAACATAGAGAAAGAGAAGAAAATTCAACATAGAGAAAGAGAAGAAAATGCAACATAGAGAAAGAGAAGAAAATGCAACATAGAGAAAGAGAAGAAAATTAAACAGAAAGAGAAGAAAATTAAACAGAAAGAGAAGAAAATAAAAGAAAAGATAAGAAAATAAAAGAGAAAGAGAAGAAAATAAAAGAGAAAGATAAGAAAATAAAAGAGAAAGAGAAGAAAGTAAAAGGGAGAGAAGAAAATTAAGCAGAAGAAAATGAAACAGAGAACAGAAAATGAAACAGAAAGATAAAACAATAAACAGAGAGAGAAGAAAATGCAGCAGAGAGAAAAAATGAAACAGAAGGAGAAGAAAATAAGAAATAGAGAAAAGGAAGGAATGAAACAGAGCCATTAGAGGAACTCAAATTAAAAAAAAATAATAATTACTGTTATTAAAGACTAAACAACGGCACAATACCGTGACTGCAACAATACACAAATCACCCGCACATAGGAAAAATTTATGACGACGTTTCGGTCCCACCTGGATCAGTTAATGACTAGTTAATGTTAAGTACAAGAACGCAAGTGCAACTAATGTGACATTTTACTGTGGCAACGTTTCGCTCTCCAAGAGCTTTGTCAAACCATTACAAACAATGCGTGTTCACAGAGGGTATATATAAGCATCTGTGTCCATGTATTGTTTGTAACGGCTAGACGAAGCTCCTGGAGAGCGAAACGTTGCCACAGTAAAATGTCACATTAGTTGCACTCGTGACCTTTTACTTAATATATTGTTGGTAATTCTACCAACATTAAAACGACTAGTTAATGATCCAAGTCGGACCGAAACGTCGTCAGGTTGTACTCAAAAGGTAGGCAGTAATAAAGTGCTGTGCTCACCTATTTGTAGTTTCAGGGTGTTGAGTCACAGCTCCTGGCCCAAGCTGTGGATAAGTGAGAATACAGAACTGAAGTCATATTAATATGAGTATACTCCTGGTGAAGCGCTAGACTCATATGGGCCTTACAGCCTCTGAGGAGTGGGAGATGGCGGAGTTGAAGTAATCAGGTTTGATCCACGGAAGAGGATGGTAGCTGCAATTCCTTGAATCCTGAGCCCCTTAAAATCAGCTTCCAAGTGCCTCCCTATTACGAACACAGGTTAGAATGGCCTGTGACCTGGTCGTAATGGGTTTGAAGCAAAACAAACTCAGCAGAGAGGCCTTAACTTGTATTTCCTTCACCAGATATATACAAATATTTACACTTATGTACACTATGTACAAAGATTGGAATAGTCAGTGTACCACACGACGGTGACAGAATGACAAAAAGCGAAAGCCAGAGTGAGAGAGAGCACCGTACTCAACCAGCTGGTAGGCAAGTCTGGCAAATGCTGACCGTGAGTGAATCACATCGCCTCAGCACTTTGCGGGCTCGTCTGTGATTGGACAGTGATCTAAGGTACTGATTCAACGACAGATACCCTAAAACCCTCAGCACCCGGCTCACTGGTTGGGAGGCAGCCTATTTGGGAGTGTGACATACGCAGAATAAATTGTAATATACTCTTTGCATGCCACACTCATTAAGTGCAATATTCCTCCTCCATTCTTATGATTTTTATTATTCTTTTGACTCTTTTGTTCTTATGATTTTTTTGTTCTTATGATTCTTTTGTTCTTATGTTATTATTCTTAGGTTCTTAAGATTCTTATTTTTTTCTTATGTTCTCATGATTCTTATGATTCCTATGTTCTTGTGATTCTTATGTTCTTGTGGTTATGTTCTCGTGATTCTTATGTTATGATTCTTATGTTCTTGTGATTCTTATGATTTTGTGATTCTTATGTTTTTGTGATTCTGATGTTATAGTGATTATATTTTTGTGATTCTGATGTTATAGTGATTATATTTTTGTGATTCTTATGTTGTTATGAATCTATATTCCTATGATTCTTATGTTCTTATGATTCAAGAGGAGAAAAATAAAACTACAATTTAACTTAATTACATTTAATATAGATATTCTATAAATGTATAAAATATCTAAGGACACTATATTTGCTCGCCAATATAGCAAAAAGGAATCAATTTTTTTTTTTGTAAGAGCGAAGTGACAAACGCTCCGCTATACATGAGAAATTTCTCACTTAATATAAATTACATAGATGTACGTAAATGCATCATAAAAACTATCTATATCTCTATTAGCGACTTCTGTGTTTACGGCTTTTTTTGTTTTTATTGTAGCCGCTAAAAATTTCCTGGCGTCGCTGTTACCTCTTTCAGTCCTTTCTTTTTTAGGTACTGGTAAGTGGTGTGTGTCACTCTGATAGCATTCACCTGGTTATGGCCTTGGGGGGGTCATGGAACTGGGTGGTCATGGCCTGGGGGTCATGGCCCTAAGGGGTTATGGCCCTGGGGGGTCATGGCCCTGGGGGGTCATGGCCCTGGGAGGTTGTGGCCCTGGGGGGTTATGGCCCTGGGGATCATCGCCCTCGAAGCCCGGTCTCGGACCAGAACTCTTCTGTCAGGTTTGTTGAGCCAGCGGAACCTATGTTTCTCCGTCATTCGGGAAGTGTGTCTCATTCATCCCTCGGGAAGTGTCTCTCATTCATCCCTCGGGAAGTGTCTCTCATTCATCCCTCGGGAAGTGCCTCTCATTCATCCCTCGGGAAGTGCCTCTCATTCATCCCTCGGGACGTGTCTCTCATTTATCCCTCGGGAAAAGTTTCTAGCCTGTTGTTTAGGTATTCCTTTGAAAGACAGTCAGAAATTTGTCGGTAATTCCCACTTTTTTTGAAGCGAGTGTTGGTACACTTCGGACCCTTCATGCTTATTGAGTTATTTATGTACTCGATGGACACCTTTGCGTCTGCTTCATGTATATCTGGAGAATGCACAGGAATCTTTCACTTTCAGTATCATTTCAAATATTTAAATTATTTAAAACCCTCTCGCTGTACTTCCTGGAGGCCTATAAGTTCCGATCTATGCACTTCGCCAATGAAAAAGTGTATGTCTAAATCCGGCACCATAGCTGAGTCCAGACACTCTCTGCTCCCTTATCGGAGTTCAAAGGTTCGAACCTATAGCATTACACACGGAAAAGATGCATTATAATACATGCCTTTACAAAATTGTAGACAATGGATCTATATTCGCACAGTGAAATTCCTCTATACATGAGCAAGCTGCCCGGTAGACGGTGCAAAGCACCCCTTATGAAGAGCAGGGGTGCTACAAGTACACTAAGTACACAAGTACAAGTACACTGAGTAAGTCTAAAGGGTTCAGTACGTTTCAGTACCCTCTCTTCATAAATAAATATAAATTTCCTATAGACCCCAAGCTGTCTTTAAAAGGGAATTTGATAAGCTCTTCGAGTTTCCTCCTAATCGACCGGTCTGTTGTGCCTATCGTGGTTTAAGTACTGTTAGCATCGACACTCTGATCAGGCACGGGGGCGATGTTCACCAAATGAACAAACGCAGGAAATTTTACCTGCCTCCTCTCTTATAAGAGGTTATTCCAGTGTACAGATTTGAAACCAATTCAAGTATTTTTTCAGATATTTGAATCATTTTGGCCTAGGATGCAGGGAGAAAACTGGGAGATTTTCAGCGTTACCAGCCACTTAGGTTCTGTAGTGATGTGAAAAGTGAAAGCTCCCAATGTATCCTCCAGATATTCAGTAATGCCTACACTAAATACAAGTACATGCATGTATTGACAAGTATATACATTAAGGTTAATTGTAATTGTCTTTGTATCCTTATTTTGAAGCCTTTTTTTGTTATCCAGGACATAATTTTCCACGCAGTTTTGAGAGTACAAAAATGGTATTCCTTGAACTTTAAGATCTTTGTATATAATTACCACTAAGTCCCTTACATTCCTCTTCTGCTCTGTCTAGTGATTTGATTGTTTTTGTACTATACTAGCATTTTTTTCTCCAAATTTTAAAAATCTGAAATAGCTGAAATTTGCTCTCATGTAGTATTTGTTTTCAGTGGCCCAGTGAAAGACTTGATTTGCTCTGACTTCGAGATTTGCTGTGAACTTGATGGGTGCAACTATCATGCAGATTTTAGTGTCACCTGTGAAGAATAATACAGATTTATTACTTGTCCTTTTGTCTATGTCGGATTAGGGAATGAGAGAGAGAAATGAAGAAAAGTTTTCACTGTGGCGCACTCTGATTATTCTTGGTTTCTTTTTTGTGTGTCCGATTTACATTATTGTTAACACTCCATCTGTTCCCAATCTCATTATTCTTCTAGCATGCATTCGCGTAGTCTGTGTGTATAATGTGTCGGCATTTTGCTTGTTTGGATGCTCATTCGAATCTATGTCATAGTGATCTATCAGCTGCGAGAGGCAGAAGCGTTTTGTTCTCATCCTTAGTTGTCTTGGATTATGTAAATGTTGCTTCTATATTCGCTTAATAGTATAGCGTCTTAGCTTTCTTCAGAGACTATGATAATGTTTGACGCCTTTGCTTAAAGTTAACGAGCGCTTCACTGCCACCTTTGTGGAATTGATAAGTAAGGCACATGTGCACCAGTTAGGTATCTTTATTCAGAAAGGATCCGCCTACACAGGCTCCTTCAGTCGAGTACAGAGGAGGCAACAGAAGCCTACTGTGAAGGCGAAACGTTTCTGTATAAAGATACCTAACTGATGCACCAGTGCCTTATCTACTTGTTCTTATGCTATACCATTATCATATTCACCTCGTGGAGACTGGTTATCTCAGTAATTATATTTAAAATTTATACTAGGACGCCTGTGTTTGTTTCCATAGAACATATAAAGGCTCTGAAAATGTTATTCAGTAATTTTGGATATCTATGGGGCTAGGATTTGCCTGGGACTAAGGAAAGAGTACATGGGACTCCTTCAAATACTTTCTTCAAGGGTGATGATGGAATGATTACATCGTCTTTACATCTCTACTTCTGCTGCCGCCTCTGTACTCGACTGAAGAAACCTACTGTGTAGGCGAAACGTTTCGGAATAAAGGTAACCTAACTGCTGCACATTTTTCGTGTCACTTTCTCCCAAGTTGTGTAATTGTTGTTTCCCGCATCAGTGCTGTAACATCATCCTCCGCATAATCTTGACTTTCCTCCTTCACCTGTTACAACGCACTTGTGACATCAACAATGGGGTTCAACTCTATCGGGAAAGTGATGCGCCAAATAGTGGATACTGCACCGTCCAATATTTGGCGCCTAACAGCACTGCATCTCTCGAATGGTTTAATTTAAATATTATTATATTCATATTAATCGCTAAACCCGGTGGGTTATTTAAATTTATTTGATTCAATAAAAAACTCATGCAAGTCGCACTGACATTTTTGGGCGCAAAGTCCATAAAAAAATTAATGGTATTAAAGAATTTCTGAACATTATAAAAAATATTAATTCCAAAACTTAGATGAGGGGATGCACCACCTCGCACTTCATCAGTTTTACTATGAACTATTGGGTGATACTCTTGTTTATATACAAATGATATATGTCACTTGTTTATATAACTAATTTGGATATGAAATTCTGTGTACAGGTGTATTATTATTGATTGAACCATGAGAGTACCATGACTTATGCACTCATGAGTCATGGTACTCACAAACTATGGCACTTATGCATGCACCATGGCAATCGTACAAGAACCATAGCACTTATAAATGAACAGTGACACTCGTTATAATCGTATTAACAACACCTGCCTACACATGACAGCTCAAATTCCGCCGGCTCTGTCATTCACCTTATCTCTCCAAAAACTAAACTGTTTACAAAACATCACTAGACAGTTTATAGAACTAAGGATTTCTTAGATTTTCCTCCTCAGGATTTTACTCGGCAGAGTGGCTATATTTCTCTTTGTCCCTGAGTATGTGAGCCAGCTGGATGCCACTGCCACAACATCACATCAGCAGGATGTAGAGTGTTCCTCTATATTTTGGGATGAGGTGACAGATCTGGTGCTCGTGTGCCGTGGTTCTTTGCTGAGAGTGGTGGAGGTCAAGCAGGATTTAGGCATGGGTGTGGATGATGTACTGGCGAATGGTGTTGATGATGTTTTGCTGCATGGCGTGAATGATTTATTGTATGGCGTGGATGATGTACTGGTGCAGGGCGTGGATGATTTGTTGCACGGTATGGGTGATTTGGTGCGTGGCGTTGATGTTGTATTGGTGCATGGTGGTGATGATTTGTTGCATGGCGTGGGTGATTTGTTGCATGGCTTGGATGTGCTGGTGCATGGCGTGGACGATGCATTGGTCTGTGGTGTTGAAGGAGGCGGGTGAGGGTGGTGTGGCGGTCTCTTCTGCCCACACCCACTACTACTGTTGCTGCCTTTAAGAACCAACTTCTCGTCAAGTTTAGCGAGGAGTGAGGAACACTTGGTGGCTTCGGGCAAGTTCCTCAACAAGTCCATTACTTCCAGGAACTCGGACACTAGCGGCTTGATGTTCCCCTCCTCGTCCAGCTCCACCCGCAGACCTGCTGGGGAGGGTGAGGCAGGCCACAGTCAACCACTGATCACAGGTCACAGCAACAGGTCACAGCAACAGGTAGCAGCTCACATACACCGTGTGGTGAGAGATAAATCTTTCTTAAAACAAAGATATTTGTTATGGGTATCTCAGTGAGAATCGGAGATGCGTGGAAATATGAAATAAAAAGGAGGCAATTACTTCAGTGGAAGGGGCTTGGAAAAACAATACAATTAAAGTGAAAGTCGGGCTTTGGATTTACAATACTGTGTAAGCCTGGAAATGCCAAACGGTAAAAATAAGCGGTGAATATGATGCTAAAAATTAGTAAAAACTAAAATTAATTTCAGCAGGGAGGGGATAATGCTGCAAATTTACAAATGGGAAGAGGCGAAAGGGATAGGAACACGCGAAATGCGCCTTTGACCTGATATGGCCGAGCTGAGAGAACCCGCGGACGACCCGTCACCCTCGTAGGCATAAGCTCGAAGGTCATCCCTGGCCGGTAGAGGTTCTGGAGCGGTGGCAGCGGCGGCTAACCGGGGTACTCCACCAGCTGCTGCTGCTGTGGCAGCCTCCTCCATCAAGGAGATGGTGCTGCTGGCAGGGCCAGCTGTGCTGTCGTCTGTAAGGTGTGGGAGAGCAGATATGAGCAGGAACGCTTTGAACATTGACATAAATACTAAAGAAATCGCTCTTTAACATTTATGACAAGGACAACGAAGATTTTTGGTGGAGGTCGTTTGTTCAGAACATATGTATGAAATTCTCTCTCTCTCTCTCTCTCTCTCTCTCTCTCTCTTTCTCTCTCTCTCTCTCTAGATACATATACATATATATATATTATATATATATATATATATATATATATATATATATATTATATATATATATATATATATATATATATATATATATATGTCGTGCCGAATAGGCAGAACTTGCGATTTTGGCTTAAATAGCAGCGCTCAACTTTCCATTTAGACAAGTGAAAATTTGTGTATGCAATAATTTCGCAGAATTCGTTCTGAACCTAACGAAAAAAATATATTTGATTGTGTTTGTTTAGTATTAAATTACTGTAAACGTATTTAAAATATATTTAGTTGGGTTAGGCTAAAATAAATTGCACTTGTTATATAAGGTTAGGTGAGTTTTCTAAGATTATTTTGGTGCAGAATTAAAAATTTTTACATTAACATTAATGAAAAAATATATCTTTAAACGTATAACAGAAAATTTTAGAAAGGACTTAATTTTAAATGAATTCTTGCTAACTGACCAGTTTTACATATTCGGCACGACATATATATATATATATATATATATTATATATATATATATATATATATATTATATATATATATAAACACTGATCTCTGGCTGAAGGAGACTCGAACCTACGAACCTTAGGACAAGGTACGCAGTGCTTTACCAATCTACCCACACTGGACAATACCTTGACGTGTAGCATGCGCTACACGTTTGATCCAAGGCAGCCAGCTTTCAGGGAGAAGGCTTACAGCTTTTCATCTCATCCCCTGCGTGCATCAGCCTTACTAGAGATTTGAATAATGCAAGGAATTCGCGAGAGCAGGCGAAATATACACAAACACTGATCTCTGGCTGAAGGAGACTCGAACCTACCTAGTAAGGCTGATGCATGCAGGGGATGAGATAAAAAGCTGTAAGCCTTCTCCCTGAAAGCTGGCTGCCTTGGATCAAACGTGTAGCGCATGCTACACGCCAAGGTATTGTCCAATGTGGGTAGATTGGTAAAGCACTGCGTACCTTGTCCTAAGGTTCGTAGGTTCGAGTCTCCTTCAGCCAGAGATCAGTGTTTGTGTATATTTCGCTGCTCTCGCGAATTCCTTGTATATATATATATATTATATATATATACACATATATATATATATATATATATATATATATGTCGTGCCGAATAGGCAGAACTTGCCATCTTGGCTTAAATAGCAACGCTCATCTTGCCATATAGGACAAGTGAAAATTTGTATATGCAATAATTTCGCCAAAATCATTCTCAACCTAACGAAAAAAATATATTTCACTGTGTTTGTTTAGTATTAAATTACTGTAAACAAATCTAAAACATATATAGTTGGGTTAGGCTAAAATAAATTGTTCTTGTTATAATAAGGTTAGGTAAGTTTTCTAAGATTCTTTTGGTGCAAAATTAAAAATTTTTACATAAAAATTAATGAAAAAAATATATCTTTAAACGTATAAGAGAAAATTTTAGAAAGGACTTAATTTTAAATGAGTTCTTGCTAATTGACCAGTTTTACATATTCGGCACGACATATATATATATATTCTTTCTTTCTTTCAACACACCGGCCGTATCCCACCGAGGCAGGGTGGCCCAAAAGGAAAAACGAAAGTTTCTCCTTTTACATTTAGTAATATATACAGGAGAAGAGGTTACTAGCCCCTTGCTCCCGGCATTTTAGTCGCCTCTTACAACACGCATGGCTTACGGAGGAAGAATTCTGTTCCACTTCCCCATGGAGATAAGAGGAAATAAACAAGAATAAGAACTAGAAAGAAAATAGAAGAAAACCCAGAGGGGTGTGTATATATGTGCTTGTACATGTATGTGTAGTGTGACCTAAGTGTAAGTAGAAGTAGCAAGACGTACCTGAAATCTTGCATGTTCATGAGACAGAAAAAAGGACACCAGCAATCCTACCATCATGTAAAACAATTACAGGCTTTCGTTTCACACTCACTTGGCAGGACGGTAGTACCTCCCTGGGCGGTTGCTGTCTACCAACCTACTACCTATATGAATATATATATATAATATATAAAATATATATATATATATATATATATATATATATATAAAATATATATATATATAAAATATATATATATATATATATATATATATAACAACACTGCACTAGCTAAGGAGTCGAACCCATGCTGTTTTGACCCGCCTCATGATGAGAGAAAACTAGACCACTAGACTACACAATCCTTAAAAATGGTGCATCCAGCCAAGCTAGAAGTTGTACCCACCATCGAAGGACATCGGTCGTGTGGACGCCTCTAAGCTAATTTCATTCTACTCCCTGTTTGTGTACTAGCTCAACAAGCAGTATATTATATTATTGTACCAACGGAACAAGTGGTATTGATCAATAACAACACTGCACTAGCCAAGGAGTCGAACCCATGCTGTTTTGGCCTGCTTCCTTGGCTAGTGCAGTGTTGTTAATGATCAGTACCACTTGTTCCGTGGGTACAAACAATATATATAATATATATATATATATATATATATATATATATATATATATATATATATATATATATATATGTATATATATATATATATATATATATGTATGTGTATATATATATGTATATATATGTATGTGTATATATATATGTATATATATATATATGTATATATATATATATATATATATATATATATATATATATATATATATATATATATATATATATATATATATATATATATATATATATATATATATATATATATATATACATTTTATATATAATTCAATGCATATAATGACACACACACACACACACACACACACACAATTCATCAACCAACCTTGCTTTAGGGATGTGGGTTGTAGGTTGTACTTGAGGCAGTCGAGAAATGTGTCGTGATCTCCATCATCCTTCAGCCTAGTGCCGGCACTGTCATCTATGCCGCCCTTCACTGCTATGATAGTGCCCTCCTCCTCCTCCTCCCCGCCCACCCTGCCCACCTGGCGGGCAGCCAGAGCCCGACCCTGCCACTGGCGGTGCAAACGGATGGAGAACACCACACCCAGCACCACTGAGAGGAAGATCAACATATATTCCTGCTGACATGAGCTGTGTCATGGGAGCGACGAAGATACATCGAAGACTCAGTAATCCTTTATATATATAAACATTACGACCTTGTTCACTGTTCTTACAAATATTTTACCTCTTAGCCAGGAGTCAGGCTCGAACCGATGATAAGCCGATATCTTAGATGCTGATGCCGAAGAGTTTCAGTCTCTATGTGAGTTATTAGTGAGCATTGAAAAGTGTTCATTACACCTTAGTTAATCACAAGGTACATGTAGTTAAGACACAGGTTCGAGTCTCACTCGGGTATGAGGTAAAACGTCTGTAAAATTAGCATGTTTTTGAAGTGTTTAAGTATGTTCTGTACTATGTTCAGAAGATTATCAAGAACTCATCTTCGTGAGAAAGAAATTACTGATTAGTATCAGGCAGAATTCCTGTATTTTAAAGCAGCTATCTAGTTCAAAGAGCACACTGTTAAGCGGATGCAATCAAAACAACTATAAATGTTAATAAGTTGTCAAAGTGTTACTGTGAGTGCATTTTTGTGTTTATACTTGGAAGATATATGAGCAAATAAACGAAAGCGCCATGGCATTTCTGTTTTTTTCTTGAATTCATGACTTTTTAAAATACTTTTCATGCTGATATTTCAAAAATAAATTTATATATTGTCGTAGCGTACTGACCAAGTAAGAGAAGTGAGAGAGTGAGAGCCGCTATGGCAGCAGGGGCTGTGAGTGGGTGCCCACTTGACGCCAAGCCGCCCCATTCACAGTTATCACCGGTGTGGCCCGGGCCACAAACACAGAGGTAGCCGGGCCGCAGGTTGTAGCAGGTGCCACCGTGCAGGCAGGGCCGCCAGAGGCACTCATCCACGTCCTCACAGGTGTGGCCCACCAGCTGACGCCCGGATCCACAGCTAAGGAATACAATGCTAACATTAAACACTCTGAAAGCTATGTCTTAGACAATACTGCGATTCTTTGTTTCGTAAAACGGTTGAAAACCTAGCTCCGATAGGTCAGTGGATGCTTAATTACGGGACTTCATCTGACGAAGACCCGTTTCAGGAAACACTTGTTTCCTGACGAAGAAAATAAGACAATAAAGCAAAAACCTGAGCACCAGGTCAGGCTCAGAAAACACACTGTCGCCATAGTATGTACATTATTATTATTATTATTATAATCAAGGGGGAAGCTCTAAACCCGGAGGATTATACAGCGCCTGGGGGGGGGGATGTGGAAGGCATTCAGATTTAATTCGGGGAACTGGAGCACAAATCCAATTCCCTAAATCAAGAGCCCCTCACCAACATCAAGGAACCTTCCTTGAGGGGCATAGTATGTACAGATCACTGTGGATCAGTAAAGCTACTTCTTACATGCTAGATCACCATAGTACACTCAAGGCCACGAATATAAAAAAAAAAGTCTTCATTGCACAGTCCTTCAACTGGGATGTACTGGTGCTGGCAAAGAATTCTCGATCCAGTTAATTAAAGTTTTCCTTGGATTAAATCTGATTACCTTTTGTTCCTCAGAGCATATTATTATGGTCAAGCCAGTATGGTAGAGAGGAGTGCTCATTATTCCTCCACAATTTTTCTCGTACGGAAATATTAAATTATCATAGTATCTTTAATCTAGGGAGGTTGGTTGATGCCAGCGAGGTGGGCCCTTGATCCAAGAAACTCGGCCTTTTCTCCCCTTCCATGAATTAAACCTGATTGCCTCCCATTTACCTGGCGCTATGTAACCCGTACTGGTTTAGCATCCCCTCTTAAATGCAAAATTAATTTCATTATCTGCAGGCAGCTACTCTCTGTTGTACATCACTCTGAACACGTCTTAGATCACAACTCTGGACTCTCCTCTTTTCGCATAGAGGTTGACCGATAAGCCGGCAGAAGGCTTCGGTCAGATGACCGAAAACTCCAGTGGCGGGTCATCATATGACTAAAACCCTAGTTTGAAACACTTGTCCTGTTTCCTAACCAGCGTCAGGAAACACTCCTGTTTCCTTTTTTCACGTCACCCCATACATTATACAACACTAAATATACTCTAACACAAATTCTTTCCCAGTTTTTCAGGTATTTCATGTGGCCAGGAAACAAGACATGCAGATAAAGAAAAATCTTTATAACTGAGAAATCAAGAAGACAATGCTAAACCCTGACTTCATGAAAAAAAAAAATAATTAAGAAATTATTTCGATTTTTTTTATTATAATTAAGAAACTCTAATTGGTCATTCAAAGATGCTAATTTTTTTAAAGAAACTCAGTTATTTAACCTTCCGGTCCACGGGAAAAATACTTTTCGTCAGTGTATAAAAACTGTAATACATAAATGTTGACGGGTAAGTGGACGTTGTGAGATATCATAGTCAAGCATTTCCGTCTCTTCCAGTTATATGCTGAAATAAGCTTTTCAATGCTGCAGCCACAGGATGATGGAAGTGCGGCGATGATCTCAGCCCGTTAGCGTCTTACATTACTTGAGGAATGGGAGATAATCACGTCTGATCGGGATAAAATACCGGTTGTTTTAATTCCGTGGATAAAGAACCCTTCTCAAGGATGTTTCTTTCCAGATAGCTGAGACAAGGAGCATCAAATGGAAGGCTGTGAGGCACACATGAATTCCTTGTAGCGAAGGTGAAGCCGATGGCACAGATGGCAGGAGTTCTGGTACTCGAGTGGCGCCTGCAAGTGACGGAGTGTCACAGAGGGCCACAGAGTGTCAGTAGCTATGTAAAGGACGAAGTTTGAAGACGTGAAAGTTAGCCAGTTGTACTTATGACAGAGGCAGCGGGACTCTTCAGAGATATGCCAAAACGTGTAAAACGTTCCTAAGAATATTCGTATGAATAACAAACTAAATACTTGCAAAATACTTTGAAAAACAAATAAATAGAGAATACAATACAAAACAAATATAAGACAGAAAGATCACGAACGCTTACATTAGATTACATAAACAGCTTTTCAATTACATATATTAAAGAACTTGGATACTTTCGTGATTTTTCCAAAGAAATTTTCACGAAGAAAATATTTTTTCTCTCATCATATACAGGCCTACACAAAGATTAAAAATAAACGGAAGTTAATGTGTGCAACAACTCACCACTGCCAGTCGGTGCTCGCAAATGATCGTGCAATAAATAATAAAAAAAAAACACCAGGCTCTGCATGACCCCCCTACAGGTTTAGAGCTTCTCGGTAAATATTCCAATAATAAATCTAAGTCACAGTGATTATTATTATTAAATAACAAAAAGGCACAATACCGTGACTGGAACAATACACAAATAACTCGCACATAAAAGAGAGAAGCTTACGACGACGTTTCGGTCCGACTTGGACCATTGACAAAGTCAGTGTGACTTTGTCAATGGTCCAAGTCGGACCGAAACGTCGTCGTAAGCTTCTCTCTTTTATGTGCGGGTTATTTGTGCATTATTATTATTGTTATTATTGCTAAGTCGCAGTGATTATTATTATTATTATTATTATTATTATTATTAATTATTATTTATTATTATTATTATTATTATTATTATTATTATTATTATTATTATTATTTTTATTATTATTATTATTATTATTATTATTATTATTATTATTATTATTATTATTATTATCATTCATAGGAAAAATTATACTTATTATAGAACGCAGATAAAATCCAAATTATAAGAAATTATAGGTAGGAATCTGGAAGGAACAGATTCATTGTTCTTATTTTTTTTTATTTACGAAGTGACAGAATAAAAGTTATTCGCATTATTAACATAAATAACAAATGTTATTAGCATTATTTGACTACTCTCGATATCGACTTGGTAGTATTGCAAGCAATCCGCTGCCGTATTGCAGAGGTCATCTTCACAAGACAGGCACAACATTGCATGATGTGGCTGTCAATAACTCGAAGGTACCTATTTTGGGATTCCTATTAATCAATGAAACCGCGACTCTGGCGACTTGGCACTAGTACCTGCAGGTGGCTCGTCCCCAGGTACTTGCACAGGAGAGTGGCGGAGCACAGGTGGTGTTCAGGCAGGAATCTGGAGCAGGGCAGCCATGGGTCACACGTTCAGAGGTCGTCACTTGACCCCAGCTGGTGCCGTTAACAGCTGGTGGCAGTGGCAGCGGCCGTCCGGATACACGCAGATCATCCACACAACCTAAGGAAGAGGAAGTTAAGATCACCTCACCAGATTTAAAATAAAATAAACTGTTCAATTTACAAGTTAAGAACTGTTATACTGCCTCAGCTCATTTACAGGTTAATAGTATTATTGTACCTCAGCTCGTTTACAGGTTAACAGCTTTTATTCTATCTCTGTTCATTTACAGGTCAATAGCTGTTATTCTATCTCAGCTCATTCACAGGTTAATAACTGTTATACTATTTCAGCTTATTTACAGGTTAATAGCTGTTATCCTGCCTCAGCCCATTTACAGGTTAATAATGTTATTGTACCTCAGCTCGTTTACAGGTTAACAGCTTTTATTCTCTGTTCATTTACAGGTTAATAGCTGTTATTCTATCTCTGTTCATTTACAGGTTAACAGCTGTTATTCTACTTCATCTGCTCTTAAAAGTGTTAAGTAGGGCTAAGAAATATTATAAGCCACGGAACGGGTGGGGTTTAAACCCATGATGAGTTAGTGAAAAGTACATTTTTTACACCATGTTAATTCTCGTGAATACATCTATTTATTCTCATTTTTCAGTAATCGATACGGGAGAAGCGGTGAATTTTGTCAGGGACAGTGTGAATGATGGTGAAAGTGTTTCTTTTTTCTCAGGTCAACCTGCCTCGGTGAGAGACGCCCAGCTCATAAAAAAAAACTATACACAAGCACGCGCGCGCTCACACTCACATGGAAGCCACAAAAATGATAAAAATCTGAGAAAAGATGTTAAACAGTCTTTGTGAGAAGCGATGATCAAGAAGTAATTATCTGAATCTTTGTGATAACTGATCTGAATCTCTAAGCATCAGAGCGACTTTCCTGGGCATCCCTGTGATGTTTTGATATAGATTAATTCCACTTGTGACCCTTTTTTACAACGAAAAATTACCGAGAGAGAGAGAGAGTGAGGTAGTATACGTGTGTGTGTGTGTGTGTGTGTGTGTGTACTCACCTATTTGCTCACCTATTTGTGGTTGCAGGGGTCGATTCATAGCTCCTGGCCCCGCCTCTTCGCTGTGTGTGTGTGTGTGTGTGTGTTAGTGCAGCACACAAAAAAGGGGCCGCTAAGAAGCATAAAGAATGGAGACAAAAATAACAACGAACGCTCATCAAAGGAGAAGAAATGAAGAGAGGACACAGTAAAATACTGGAAAAAATAAACAAGAAAACAGAAGAGGGTGGCACAACACACTAAAGATAAGGATAAAGGAGAGAGCGGAGCAGCCAGGCATAAGAAGCAATGAGGATGCTGAAGACGGATACGCTTAAAGATGATGCGGCAAGATGTGGACCCAGGCTTGCTCTCTCTGGGAAACCTTCTGGTGCAGGTCAGTTCTCCATTCTTCCATCTCTACTCACATCTTAAACGCGACCTACATACCTCTTACGTGACTTTTTTACTCATCAGTTTCTTATGTCTGGTTTTCTCACGCCTAGTCCTCTCGTTTCTAACTTTTTTTTTTTCCAAAGACTAAACTTTTCCGTTTTCTACTCATGTCTTAAACGCGACCTACTCATCTCTCACGTGACTTTACCTCTCAATTTCTTTCTTATGTCTGGCTTACTCACGTCTAGTCCTGTCGTCTCTAACTTTTTTTCCAAGACCAAACTTTTCTCGTTTTAACCCATCACAAGTGCAATCTCGTGTCCCCAGATCTTTGTTTGTGTAAGGCGCAAAACAACATCCCCTGATAAGGATCCCCAATACCCGAGGTAAACGTCCCAGCAGTCAGGATGGCAGGGATGACAATGCCATGGCAGCCTCTTCTTCCCCTGGTACTTTGTTTATAAGAGTAGTTGGAAAAGAATGGGTTTATAAAATGTCTGCCTAGTTTAATAAGGCCTTTCTCGTTGCTTAATGGCATGCACCCGAAATTCAATCATGCGACCTGATGAAAGTTTCCGGACTCATTCATAAGACGTAGTCATGTTTACTACTGAGTGGATAGCAGAGAGAAAACTAATAGACGGTCAGAAGGTGTAAACTGAAAATTGTTTAACGTGATTTAATGGGAATAAAAATTTGACACTATTTGGATATAAAATAATCGAATCTGCACCTATGTATGTGAAGTTCACTCTCCACTATCTTCTTTTTTAGGCGTCCTTTTTTTTTTTTGACATTTGAAGCTATCTTGTGCTTATTTTATGCTGAGAGTTTTAGACGGCAGCATAGTCGTCTTGTTATCCTATGTCGTTTACTGCCTGCTGGGAATGTTGCAGCGATATATTTAATAAATATTGATATCTTGAATGTTGTTACGTTGTACAGTCTCAATAGCGAGTCCACTAAGGTCCTGTAAGGTGAAGATAGTTACTACTCACTATCACTGAGGTCGTCGTGGACAGTGACGAGGTTAACTCCCGCGAACTCCGGCATTCCTCCCACGGTCACTCCATCATGCTTGTCAACCTCTAGCGGCGCCGGCGACGACCTGGCGTCCCTGGCGGGGCTAAGCAGTGATGCCAGCGACTCGTTGCACCGCCATCCGTCGCCGTCGTCGACACGGACGACTAGATTGTGTCCGTGTCGTTCAGCTATGATGGTGTGCCAGGCACCATCACCGACCGGCCGGCCCTCCACGCAGGCCGCCCGTGCCGCCCACCCAGCACCAGATACGGACGCACATGCTACTCCTGCACGTAACTGTGACCCAAAAAAAATGATACCAGCGGTAATATAAACAATTTTAGCTTGATTTTATGAGGAAATAAATTATAGCAGTATGACAGGTGACTGTAAGTAACACGAATGATGAGAACGAAAGAAATGACTTTTATAAACTCACATGAACTGTGAAAGCAGCAGCACGATGGTGAGCAGCCAGATGGAGCAAGAGGCCACTTCGAGTGCCGCGGGTCCGCACCCGCAACTGTACTGTCACAACTCGCGGCGCCGGCGTGAACGACAGCGCCACCTTCATATAGGACGACTTGCCGAGAGTGGCAGGGATGGTGGGGGAGGCGCAGCTGGGGCCTGACCACCCTGGATCGCACTCGCACTGCGGGTGATGGAGGCCGCCCGCGCACATCCCACGCCTCCCGCACCCGGCTGAGCCACCCGGGCAGGCCTCCTCCTGAGGGTGACAGCCGCCCTCACTGCCCTTGCTGTAGGCCGGCTCTCCCAGATCCACCAGCTGCAACGATGCTGCAGGACAGTCAGTTAATTCATTTTCTTACCCGCTTCCTGTGTTATATCACAGCAAAACCTAACCACTAGCTTGACCCTGCTTAAGCCAGAAAGAGGGGTCGAGAACGTGGCCACACTTACGGCCCTTGTCAGGCACGGTGGGGTTCAATCCCAGGCAGGAGAATCAAGCTTCCATTATTTCAAACAAATGTACAATACACATAATCTAGACAAAAACCTCAGTCTGTGTAGAAACCATATAAGTAGAGTCTAGAAGGTAGAGTGTAGAGTGAACAGTCTAGAGTGTAGAAGGTAGAGCGTAGAGTTTACGGTATACATACATATATATATATATATTTTATATAATATATATATATATATATATATATATATATATATAAAATATATATATATATATATATAATATATATGTGTGTGTGTATATATATATATATATATATAAAATATATATATATATATATATATAATATAAAATATATATATATATATATATATATATTATATATATATATATATATACATATATATTATATATAATATATATATATATATATATATATATATATAATATATATTATATATATATATATATATATATATGTATATGTATATATAATGGAACTTTTTTAAGTAATGATTAACATGCATATTTTCATAGCTCCTCTTAGAATATATATCAGCTAACGATAAAAAAAATAGTGTAGCTACTGTATTCTTTTAAATACAATAAGAGAAATGAATGCCAGTGAAGTGGTTGGAGTTTCTCCAGATCCTTAGTGATGTGGCTGGAGTTTCTCCAGATCACTAGTGAAGTGGTTGGAGTTTCTCCAGATCATTAGTGAAGTGGCTGGAGTTTCTCCAGATCATTAGTGAAGTGGCTAGAGTTTCTCCAGATCATTAGTGAAGTGGTTGGAGTTTCTCCAGATCATTAGTGAAGTGGCTGGAGTTTCTCCAGATCATTAGTGAAGTGGCATGAGTTTCTCCAGATCATTAGTGAAGTGGCTGGAGTTTCTCCAGATCATTAATGAAGTGGCTGGAGTTTCTCCAGATCGCTAGTGAAGTGGCTGGAGTTTCTCCAGATCACTAGTGAAGTGGCTGGAGTTTCTCCAGATCACTAGTGAAGTGGCTGGAGTTTCTCCAGCTCACCAGTGATCAGCAACGTTACGAATCTGTATAACCCTTCCGAGTTTAGCGTTTTTTTAAGTGAATAATTATAGAAGCGCCACTGAGGTGACTGAAGATTGATATCACCGATACTTCGGCAAATTTGTTTTATGTTGTATCAAGAGTGTATAAAGTTGTGTTGTATCAAGAGTGTATAAAGTTGTGTTGTATCAAGAGTGTATAAAGTTGTGTTGTATCAAGAGTGTATAAAGTTGTGTTGTATCAAGAGTGTGTAAAGTTGTGATGTATTAAGTGTTGGGGTAAAGTTGTGATGTATCAAGAGTGTGTAAAGTTGTGTTGTATCAAGAGTGTGTAAAGTTGTGATGTATTAAGTGTGTGTAAAGTTGTGATGTATCAAGAGTGTGTAAAGTTGTGATGTATCAAGAGTGTGTAAAGTTGTGATGTATCAAGAGTGTGTAAAGTTGTGTTGCATCAAGAGTGTGTAAAGTTGTGTTGCATCAAGAGTGTATAAAGTTGTACAGAATCAAGAGTGAGTATCAAAAGTGTGTAAAACTGTGCTGTATCAAGGGTAATTGATACGTCAAGTTGTGCTGTATCAAGAGTATCTGATACATAAATTTGTGTTTCATCAAGGATATCTGATACGGATAGTCAGAATTAAGTACATTCCTCACAATGAGAGTTTTTAACTAGACGAGTTGTGACTCCAGCATCAGCTCCATCAACGCCTAATAAAGCTTAATTTCAGCAGCAAAGTTTAACAAAGCTTCCACTTAAGCATAGCAAAGCTCACAATTATATTATTACTTTAGATTAAGTTTCTTCTGCTAGGGCTCATAGGCCTAGTTTCTTTGAAGTACCTCTGGTTTATCCTGTCTCGCAGACATTCTCTCAAATGAGTGTTGGTAAAACTGACAGCACATAATCATTATTGTTACTGTGAATATAAATGGAGAAAGTACATTATATTATTATTTATATTAATTTATTATTAGTTAGTAGTATTTGAAGTAGTTAGTATTATTTTAGTAGTAGTAGTAGTAAAATGTAGTAGAAGTAATATTTTTTTATAATTAATATTAATTATATATTATTATTATTATTATTATTATTATTATTATTAGTAGTAGTAGTAGTAGTAGTAGTATTAGTAGTAGTAGTAGTAGTATTAGTAGTAGTAGAAGTAATATTGTTTTTATATTGTTATTATTATTATTATTATTATTATTTATTATTATTATTATTATTAGTAGTAGTAGTAGTAGTAGTAGTAGTAGTAGTAGTAGTAGTAGTAGTAGTAGTAGTATTAGTAGTAGTAGAAGTAATATTGTTTTTATATTGTTATTATTATTATTATTATTATTATTATTATTATTATTATTATTATTATTATTATTATTATTATTATTATTATTAATATTATTATTATTATTATTATTATTATTATTATTACTATTATGATTATTATTATTATTAGTATTATAGTAGTAGTAATAAAAATAGTAGAATTACTGTTATTTTATTATTATTATTATTAATGATATTATATTTTTGTGAAGGCGCTAAACCCGTGGGGATCATACTTTGCATAAAAATTAGAGATAGTAAGAATTGATCCAAGAAAGGGGAAGAGAAGGGGGTGTTTCCTCCAATTCCCTGGATCAAGAACAACAGCGTCATGTTCTCACCTGACCGCTGAGGACGAGGTGAGAGAGGCACCCGTCCAGTGGGCGTACTGTGGGCGCCTCCACCCACCCGTGGTCATCGGGGCGTGGGGGCGTGTGTGCCAGCCCGCCCACCTGCAAGGGCGGTGACTCCACCCAGGCCCGTCCGCCCCTGGGGGTGGTCCACTCCGCCCGCGTCACGCAGTGGGTGTCATCGTGGGCGCGCTCTTCCCACCCACGCCCACACAGGTCCACCATCAGAGACACACCCTGAGGGTAGTGAGTGCTCAAAATCAGGGCCTACTACATCCTTTTATACTCAAAGGGTAGCCTACTACATGCTTTTATACTCAAATTGTAGGCCTACTTCTCTTGCTCTTGCTATAATCTTACTATGATAAAAGTCTCATATATAAATTAAGATAGTGATATAAATCTGATCTCATAACACTCTCATAAACAACACGTTTCTCTGTGTTTGTGTTGCGTACAACTAGGAGAGCACAATTAGGCAGCGCCTCTGACTTGGGCTTAGTTGAAGATCACAGCATCAACCCTCCATCATTCCTTGCCAAGAATATATATATATATATATATATATATATATATATATATATATATATATATATATATATATATATATATATATATATATATATATATATATATATATATATATATATATATATATATATATATATATATATATATATATATAATATATATATATATATATATATATATATATATATATATATATATAATATATATATATATATATATATATATATATATATATATATAATATATGTCGTGCCGAATATGTAAAACTGGCCAATTAGCAATAACTCATTTAAAATTAAGTCCTTTCTAAAATTTTCTCTTATATGTTTAAAGATATATTTTTTTCATTAATGTTGATGTAAAAATTTATAATTTTGCACCAAAAGGAGCTTAGAAAACTTACCTAACCTTATTATAACAAGCGCAATTTATTTTAGCCTAACCCAACTAAATATATTTTAGATTTGTTTACAATAATTTAATAATAAACAAACACAGTGAAATATATTTTTTTCGTTAGGTTCAGAATGATTTTGGCGAAATTATTGCATACACAAATATTTTCACTTGTCCTATATGGCAAGATGAGCGTTGCTATTTAAGCCAAGATCGCAAGTTCTGCCTATTCGGCACGACATATATATATATATATATATATATATATATATTATATATATATATATATATATATATATATATATATATATATATATATATATTATATATATATATATGAAGCGTCATATCCTGAGGGTCATTCTTGGCAAGGAATGATGGAGGCTTGATGCGGTGTTCTTCAATTAAGCCCAAGTCAGACGCGCTGCCTAATTGTGCTCTCCTAGTTGTACGCAACACAAACACAGAGAAACGTAATGACATCCTCGGAATATGTGCAGACCAAGACAGCGAGAGAGAGAGAGAGAGAGAGAGAGAGAGAGAATGAGAGAGAGTAACGCTCTTGTTACGCACTGGGCGCTAACGTACTCCTGCTGTACGTTAGTAACTATGAACTCACACGCCATCCGGTTGGACAACAAGTGTTGCTGAGTATCGCAGAGTGGCGTGAGTGACCGTATGACTACGGGGACTACACAAGGTACACAGAGTGTGACGGTACTCAGGTAATACACGGTCGTGTGTGACGGTACTCAGGTGATGCACTGTGTTGTGTGTGGCGGTACTCAGGTGCTGCTAGTTGCAGAGTGTTACGGTACTCAGGTACTGCACTCTGCCGTGTGTGACGGCATTCAGGTGCTGCACTTTGCGAAGTGTGACAGTACTCATGTACTGCTAGCTGCACTATGTGACAGTACTCAGGTACTGCAATTTGCAAAGTGTGATGGTACTCAGGTGTTGCAAGCTGCAGACGGCATTCTTACCAAGTTTACACTACCTAAATAACTCTCACAGCTTTGAGTAATATTTCGGAGTTAAACGATTGTGTCATATATTCAGACAAACACTGCAACATTTGGACGAATGTTGAAGTCCAGGACACGAGAAAACGCGAATGTTTTCAGACGGCTATGGATGTGCTTGGAATGTTGTTGATCCACCTGTACGAAGGTTGTACCTTGACAAATGACGATGTACTGGGACAATCACAGTAAATGATCTAGTATGAGAATATTATGATTAAAATGAGAATAACTGGTCAAATTACAATAATTTAAATAATAAGGTAGTCAAGAAATATGGGAGAAATTTAGAAAACAAGTGAAAGAACATGTCCAAAACTTGATGAATATGATTTTGCATTACATCTTCAGTGACATACGAAAATTCCTGGACTAATCTGATGGTTCTTGATTCTCAGGAGAACACCTGGACCTTGATTTTCACGAGAACACCTGGATCTTGATTGTCACAAGAACACCTGAACCTTGATTTTCACGAGAACACATGGACCTTGATTCTCACGAGAACACCCGGACCTTGATTCTCACGAGAACATCCGGACCTTGATTCTCACGAGAACACCCGGACCTTGATTCTCACGAGAACACCCGGACCTTGATTCTTACGAGAACACCCGGATCTTGATTCTCACGAGAACACCTGAACCTTGATTCTCACGAGAACACCTGAACCTTGATTCTCACGAGAACATCTGGACCTTGATTCTCACGAGAACACCCGAACCTTGATTCTCACGAGAACACCTGAACCTTGATTCTCACGAGAACACCCGGACCTTGATTCTCGCGAGAACACCCGGACCTTGATTCTCGCCAGAACACCCGGACCTTGATTCTCACGAGAACACCCGGACCTTGATTCTCACGAGAACACCCGGACCTTGATTCTCACGAGAACACCTGAACCTTGATTCTCACGAGAACACCTGGACTAATATGAGAGCAAATAACTTATGAAGAAAAGATCAACTTTACAATGCACACTGTATTGTCCTTGTTTACCTCGAGGGAGGTTCCTTGATGCCGGTGAGATGCTTTTGTACAATATTTCGGACTTGCCCTTCCATTTCTTGGATCGAACCTGATTGTCTTTCACCATTCCCTTTGGTGCCTTATGGTCCCTAGGAATTTAGCGCTTCCCCTACATGTAATAACTATAACCATAAAAATAATACTTTATTGTCCCAATGAACTCTTGTATCGCAACGTATCCTGTATTGCAACGTATCCTGTATTGCAACGTATCCTGTGTTGCAACGTATCCTGTATTGCAACGTATCCTGTATTGCAACGTATCCTGTATTGCAACGTATCCTGTATTGCAACGTATCCTGTATTGCAACGTATCCTGCATTGCAACGTATCCTGTATTGCAACGTATCCTGTATTGCAACGTATCCTGTATTGCAACGTATCCTGTATTGCAACGTATCCTGTATTGCAACGTATCCTGTATTGCAACGTATCCTGTATTTCAACGTATCCTGTATTGCAACGTATCCTGTATTGCAACGTATCCTGTATTGCAACGTATCCTGCATTGCAACGTATCCAATATTGTAACGTATCCTGTATTGCAACGTATCTTGTATTGCAACGTATCCTGTATTGTAACGTATCCTGTATTGCAACGTATCTTGTATTGCAACGTATCCTGTATTGCAACGTATCTTGCATTGCAACGTATCTTGTATTGCAACGTATCTTGTATTGCAACGTATCCTGTATTGCAACGTATCCTGTATTGCAATGTATCCTGTATTGCAACGTATCTTGTATTGCAACGTATCCTGTATTGCAACGTATCCTGTATTGCAACGTATCCTGTATTGCAACGTATCTTGTATTGCAACGTATCCTGTACTGCAACGTATCTTGTATTGCAACGTATCCTGTATTGCAACGTATCTTGTATTGCAACGTATCCTGCATTGCAACGTATCTGTATTGCAACGTAAACCTGTATTGCAACGTATCTTGTATTGCAACGTATCCTGTATTGCAACGTATCTTGTATTGCAACGTATCCTGTATTGCATTGCAACGTATCCTGTATTGTAACGTATCCTGTATTGCAACGTATCCTGTATTGCAACGTATCCTGTATTGCAACGTATCCTGTATTGCAACGTATCCTGCATTGCAACGTATTCTGTATTGCAACGTATTCTGTATTGCAACGTATCTTGTATTGCAACGTATCCTGTATTGCAACGTATCCTGCATTGCAACGTATTCTGTATTGCAACGTATTCTGTATTGCAACGTATCTTGTACTGCAACATATCCTGTACTGCAACATATCTTGTACTGCAACATATCTTTTACTGCAACATATCTTTTACTGCAACATATCTTGTACTGCAACATATCTTGTACTGCAACATATCTTGTACTGCAACATATCCTGTACTGCAACATATCTTGTACTGCAACATATTATGTACTGCAACATATCTTGTACTGCAACATATCTTGTACTGCAACATATCCTGTACTGCAACATATGTTGTACTGCAAATATTATATATTGCAACATATCTTGTACTGCAACATATTATGTACTGCAACATATCTTGTACTGCAACATATATTGTACTGCAACATATATTGTACTGCAACATATCTTATACTGCAACATATATTGTACTGCAACATATCTTGTACTGGAACATATCTTATACTGCAACATATATTGTACTGCAACATATCTTGTACTGCAACATATCTTATACTGCAACATATATTGTACTGCAACATATATTGTACTGCAACATATCTTATACTGCCACATATATTGTACTGCAACATATCTTGTACTGCAACATATCTTGTACTGCAACATATATTGTACTGCAACATATCTTGTACTGCAACATGTCTTTTCTTGTGAATAAATGGTTTAGAAATCTGACAAATTGATAAATGAGGCTCTTGTGGAAACGTTTGGCCAGCCAGTGGTTTCTTTAGTCCAGTCTGATGTACCGAAAACAACGACTCCAGGCTGAGAGAACGATTACCTCATACTTCTCTTCTTCCACCTTTCTCTGCATTGGACTGACGAAGCTACTGGCTGGCAAAACGTTTCCTTCTAGTATGCAGCTACGCAAAATGGTGCACAAGTGTCTCAATTATCAATCCGTCTTTTCTTCCCTGTTGGTGGCAATAGGCCATTTGGTTTATCTAAATGAAATAATTAGCCTCTGTTTGATGCATCCAGGACAGTAATTGGATTACGACAGTAACTTGCAGTACTTTGACTAGTGTACTCGGACCTACATGAACTGCATTGCGTTTCATAAAGTGTTAAATCCATATGTATCATTCAGCTACCATGACCCTAGTCGAATCCAGATTTAAATCAAGTGAACATCCATGACCTTGACATCCGGAAGTAATGTCGTTTCTTGTCCTGTGAGGTCAACAAGAATTACATACTCATGAAATGTCGCATCGAAAAATTTTCCAGAGGAAAATGCCTAGATTTATATTATTATTATTATTATCATTACTATTATTATTATTATTATTATTATTACTATTATTATTATGATTATTATTATTATTATTGTTATTATTATTATTATTACATTTATGGGAAAGCGCTAATCTTATATAAGTCATTTACCGGCTGAGGGAAGAAAGCAGTAGTCAGAACTGATGCGATGGAGGGAAGGGTACTATAAGTCTTAGGATTAAGAACTTCTCACCAGCATCAAGAGACCTTCCCTTGAAGGGTGAAGTACCTGATTTATGAACTCGACCTGGTTACCGTCAGGACCCCGAAGGGCGTCATCACAGCGTAGTTGTGAACCTCCTAGGGTGAAGCACCTGAAACACAGCCAGGTGGTGGCGTACCTGAGTGTTGAGATGAAGATGGATGACGTGCCAGTCTCCATCGTCTAATGTTGTATTCACTTGGATTTTGAGTGGTCCTCCTTGTCCCTCGAGTAAGACTTGCGGCCGTCCTTCCCACAGCTGCACGGCCAACATGGGCGTGGGTGCGGTATGTGGGCGGCGTGGTTGTGGTGCCAGAGGACCGGAGTATAGAAGGAGACCATGCGGGCGACGGGTGAGGATCCTGAAGGAGACGGTAACGGGGAGACAAGGAGGCAGCGGGCGGACCCACGCCCATCCCGACCCACTGAAGGTGCGAGCCATCACCTTGCACCGGTTACCCACTGACCCCTGTGGACACACACACCTGCGCACACGCAGGGGGTTACTCGGTAAGCTTATAGATAAGAACCGTTAAGGAACACTTGAGAAAAAGCAAATAAAACTGCATACTGAGCATCAGTAGCAGCTTGAAAAATCTACCTACATGTTTGTGTTAATTATAAAATGAGAAACACCAGTTATTCCTGTAAGTCTTTCACTATACACACTTTTGCCAACATAAACTCTAGAACTTCAAAACTGACTGAAGCTTTCCGAGATGTGTCACATCCACAAGTCTCAATATATACCGATTCTTGATTGTTGCTTCTTCAGTATGAAATGCATTCGTTATACAGAACGTAGGCAAGTAAGTTGTTAAGACAGTGTGAAGTTAAAAGCATTTTACTGAGAATATGTTTTGTCATCGTTCCTGATGGACCAAAGGTCTTAACAAAATGCTGTAAACAGCACATTTGTATCGTTTACCCTAAGCGCTTGTTCATATATACCTGTTTATGTGTCCTTGTGCGTTTCAAACAATGGGCCTAGGGTTTGAGGATTAGAGAAGTCATAGTGGCAATAGTAGATAGCACAATAAATAGATAACACAATAAGTGTCCGGGGCCCAAGACTGTTCAACTGCCTTCCAGCATACGTAAGGGGATTACCAAAAGACCCCTGGCTCTCTTCAAGAAGGCACTGAACAAGCACAAAGTCAGTACCTGACCAAACGGGCTGTGGTTCGTATGTCAGTTTGTGTGCGGCCAGCAGTAACAGCCTGGTTGATCAGACCCTGATCCACCACGAGGCCTGGTCTCAGACTGAGCCGCGGGGGCGTTGACCCCCGAAACCCTATCCAGTTAAACTCTCCAGGTAAACCACAAGATCCTTTTCCTTGAGTGAGGTTTGTAGTCTCTGGCCCTCTCCCCTTCCACAATCTTCATGACTGCACTTGGTGGGGTTGAACTCCAGGAGCCAGTTGCTGGGCCAAGCCTGCAGCCTGTCCAGATCCCTTTGCAGTTCTGCCTAGTCCTCATCCGATTCGATTCTTCTCATCAACTTCATATCATCTGTAAACAGGGACACTTTGAAGTCCGTTCCTTCCGTCATGTCGTTCACAAATACTAGAAACAGCACCGGTCCTAGGACTGACCCCTGTGGAACCCCGCTCGTTACAGGCGCCCATTCTGACACCTCGCCACATACCATTACTCGCTGTTGTCTTCCTGACAGGTATTCCCTGATCCATTGCAGTGCCTTCCCTGTTATCCCTGCCTGGTCCTCCAGCTTTTGCACTAATCTCTTGTGTGGAACTATGTCAAACGTATTTTTACAGTCCAAGAAAATACAATCTACCCTCCCATCTCTCTCTTGTCTTACGGCTGTCACCCTATCATAGAACTCCAGTAGGTTTGTGACAGGATTTCCCATCCCTGAAACCGTGGTGGCTGTCGTTGATAAGCTCATTCCTTTCTAAGTGCTCCACCACTCTTCTCCTGATAAATCTTCTCCATGACTTTGCATACTATACATGTCAGTGACACTGGTCTGTAGTTTAATACTTCGTATCTGTCACCTTTTTTTAAAAAATTGGGACTACATTTGCTGTCTTCCATTCCTCAGGTAGTCGTCCTGTTTCGATAGATGTGTTGAAGATTGTTGTTAGTGGTAAATATAGAGCTTTTGCTCTTTCTCTCAGGACCCATGGACAGATGTTATCCGGCCCCATCGCCTTTGAGGTATCTAGCTCACTTAGCAGCCTCTTCACTTCTTCCTTGGTTGTATATATTGTATCCAACACTTGAGAGTGTACTCCACCTTTCCTCTTTCTGGAGTCCCTTCTGTATCCTGTGTGTCTCTCCAGTGTATCTCAGATGAGATGACGTAAGCTTTCAGGTGATTCTTTCCTCGATGATGTACAGACAAAATGGCTTATCTTCACTAAGCATCTCCTTGGGACGTCGACAAGAGGTAGTTTATTCATCAGAAGAAATGGAAGATTTTCTCCTCAAACTTTAGTCATTTGACTAAGCATTCTTTTTGCTGGATTGCCCAATTTGTTAAAGTTAACTCTCACATTATGTATTCTTGACTAGGATTAAAGATCGTGTACAAGACCGATAGGTGGAAGACAGCGACAACCTCTTTCATCCTAATTTCTTCGAGTGGTTCTCATCATTACATGTACGCTTAAATTCCCGCAGCCTTGTCCGTCTTGTCACCCGCTATCTGTATCTGTATTATCCAAGCAGAATACAAAGTAATAATTATGAAAACTTCTCTAACTTCTCCTGGATAGTTGGTGGAAGGAGAAATAAAATTAGCTTCAGGTTATATCCCAACTAACTTTCAACATAACAATTTTTCCCAGTCTCTGTATCTTTCAGCATCCATATTGATGCTTCCTTTATAAACAAGTTTCACGAGCAAGCAGTTAAATATTTGGGCCATTTCGTTAGCTTGAATCTGGGGCAAAAAACATAATATTTATGTTCCTACTTGCAATTACCTGAGCTCTCCTGAGAAAGTCACGAAACTTCCTACTTGCAATTACTTGAGCTCTCCTGAGAAAGTCACGAAACTTTGAGCCTATGAGGCAGGTAATGCCCTGGCTAACTAGCGTACGTGGAGACTCCTCCAATACTTTCTGACCTTTAAGTTTCTATTTATTTTCCATTATTTCTAGAAAGATAAAATATGGAATAATTTTATTTTTTATTATACCAAAGGACCAAAATCAGAAATAGATCACATTGACTCTGTGTTATCTTGAGTTATATCTGCAGCATCATTTCTCACAGATGAATTCCTATAATGGTTGTGTGCTTACCCAAGGCACTGTAAAATATTTTTATACGTTCATAAACTACGTTTTTGTTAAATATTAGTAATAATTACCTTAGTTATACCGGATAATATATGAGCAAAAAAAGAGTTTAAACACTGAAGTTTAATGATTGTAAACACAGTATGCAGGCACACACACACACACACACACACACACACACACACACACACACACACACACACACACACACACACACACAGAAACTGAGGAGGAGGTAAAGAAGCTGCTAAGTCACCTTGATACCTTAAAGGTAATGGGACCGGACATCTCCCCGTGGGTCCTCAGAGAGCAGATATATTATGTGTGCCATTAACCACAATCTTCAACACATCCCTTGAAACTGGGCAACTACCTGAGGTATGGAACACCGCCAATGTAGTTCCCATTTTTAAAAAAGAAGACAGAAAGGAGGCACTAAATTACAGACCAGTGTCACTGACGTGTATAGTATGCAAAGTCATGAGAAGATTATCAGGAGGAGAGTGGTGGAGCACGTGGAACGGAACAAGATTATAAACGATAACCAGCACCGGATTCCATGCCTGCTTCATTATATGTAAATTCGAAACACATGAATCTTTTAGCTCCACGAATATTTATTTATGAATATCCCTTATTTATCTTAGTACAAAGTTACAGAAGTGCCAAACGAGAGAGAGGGGTGGGTTGATTGCATTTTCTTGGACTGCAAGAAGGCCTTCGACACAGTTCCTCACAAGCGACTAGTGCAGAAACTAGAGGATCAGGTGTGTATAACAGGAAGGGCACTGCAATGCATCAAAGAATATCTGACAGGGAGGCAACAACGAGTCATGGTACGGGATGAGGTATCACAGTGGGCACCTGTGACGAGCGGGGTCCCACAGGGGTCGGTCCTAGGACCAGTGCTATTTCTGGTACATGTGAATGACATGATGGAAGGGATAGACTCAGAGGTGTCACTGTTCGCAGATGATGTGAAGTTAATGAGGAGAATTAAATCAGATGAGAACCAGGCAGGACTTCAAAGAGACCTGGACAGGCTGGACACGTGGTCCAGCAACTGGCTTCTTGAATTCAACCCTGCCAAATGCAAAGTCATGAAGATCGGAGAAGGGCAAAGAAGACCGCAGACAGAGTATAGACTAGGTGGCCAAGGACTGCAAACCTCGCTCAAGCAGAAAGATCTTGGGGTGACCATAAAACCGAGCATGTCTCCGGAGGCACACACTACCCAGATAACTGCTGCAGCATATGGGTGCCTGGCAAACCTGAGAATAGTGTTCCGATACCTTAGTAAGGAAACGTTCAAGACACTGTACACTGTGTACATCAGGCCCATACTGGAGTATGCAGCACCAGTTTGGAACCCACACCTGGTTAAGCACGTCAAGAAATTAGAGAAAGTGCAAAGGTTTGCGACAAGGTTAATTCCACAGCTAAGAGGAATGTTCTACGAAGAAAGGTTAAGAGAAATCGGCCTGACGACACTGGAGGACAGGAGAGTTAGAGGAGACATGATAACGACATAAAAAATACTGCGTGGAATAGACAAGGTGGACAGAGACAGGATGTTCCAGAGAGGGGACACAGAAACAAGAATTCACACATGGAAGTTGAAGACCCAGATGAGTCAAAGAGATGTTAGGAAGTATTTCTTCAGTCATATTCAGGAAGTGGAAGAGTCTAGCAAGTGATGTAGCGGAGGCAGGAACCATACATAGCTTTAAGACGAGGTATGATAAAGCTCATGGAGCAGGGAGAGAGAGGACCTAGTAGCGTTCAGTGAAGAGGCGGAGCCAGGAGCTGAGTCTCGACCCCTGCAACTACAATTAGGCGAATACACACACACTCACACACACACACACACACACACACCACACACACACACACACACACACACACACACACACACACACACACACACACACACACACACACGTACACACTCACGCACTATTTCATTTAAACTTGCAACCAAAAAAGCACATGCTACACACCCAGTAATATCCTGCACTTTGATACAACAAACGACACTCTCTTTTTGCAATGCATTAAATTGGAGAATTTCCACTAGTTACGTTTCATTGTGAACGGTAAAAGTTATGGTGATGAACACAACACCAACGATACATGCACTGTACCTATATCCTTCAAAAAAAATTGTTGGGGGTGTTGGGGTAGGGAGGAGGAATTGTTTTATACCGTAAGAGAAA